CAACCCAGTCCTGTCACACGCTTGTTTGGCCGTCATATCTCTGGCATAATAGCGCCCCCGTCTTGCGGACCCAAATACCGTTTGTCTCTCCGTCTTTTCGGGAAGAATTGTCTGATTTGGCTTTCCGTACTACAGGCGGCCTTGTGCTAAATTCTCTTGGGCAAGGATTAAGTATATGCGCGGGGTAAAAATTTGGCTGTCTAACAAATTCAGCAGCGTGTCAGCACTCCTGCCTTACTGGCAGACGTGTGCATCCCATTTAACAATATTTCGAGTATTTTTTGCTGCGTGACTGCTCACCGTTCCGACCTTTCTTCGCAAAAATGAGCTCTCCTCATACTAAGGAATTACGTATGGGGGGTGCAGAGCAATGAATCAGCACTGGCTTCTCGTGGCGATGCAGGTCTGCGGATGCCATCCTGATGACGAAAAACTCCACCGAATAACATCTGATTTTACAAATATTGTTGGCGTTTCGGCATAGATTCCCTTACTCCGCGCATATCCTTGACCCTTGCCTTACTAACTGTAACCCCTGCTCTAACCCTACCTCGCCCCGCCTAGAATTTAGCGTAAGGCCCCCTGTGGCGCGGGGTGTCCTTATTACTGTGCCCTACCCGGCTTTCTAAAACTTTTGAAGCACCCCAGATGAGATTAGGCCTTCTGCCTCTGGTATCCACGCCGCGCTAGGACGTGAGCACATTTAGCCCCGACGATGGCCAATCACGGGCGCCCACAAACTGCACTATTACTCAATCAACTGACCATGTTGACACTGACTGCCTCTCAAGTGACGCTTCTTCACACCCACCCACGTCGTTAGCTCACGGACTTGTGTAGGCCTACAGCTTGCCCCTCGTCAGAGGGGGCTCTGACAGCCAGCCGGCCTCTGTACAGAATATACTAAACTTGACCGCACGTGAGATATGTAGCACACTTAGGAATTCCTTCACCTTGTTCAATCTAGCATAATCTCCTCCATTCCCAACCCGCGTCATGGAGCTCTGACAGCCACAGGTGTCTTTCCCCTTCTCCTCTAAATCGGGGCTGTGCCGTGATTATTGTGGCGCTCTGAGCACACACTCACTGCCTAGACGCCACACTTTGATCTGTCCCTAATCTGCTGACACCTGGGAGTAGTCTGTTTTATTAAAAGTACTAGGCCATCCGCCGCCGTTGTTGACCCCCTGTTTTGTCATATCTGCCGTAAACACATTTTATGATGAAATGTCAGTCGGTCGGAATTGTGGTGAGTTGATCCAGTAGCAGACCATCAACTAGTGACTTACTCTTCGCTGTGTGAGGACCAAGTTTTGGCATTGATCAGAGGGGAGGGCAGTTCACACCATTTTCCTAACCCTGCGAGTTTATTTTCGTCGAATCTTAAACTGCGTGTCGGAGACACAGCCAACTCCTATTTTTTTCCGAGACCGTGTTTTGGGTCTCGGAGACGGTGCCATGCAACGCTTCTTAACACCCAAGACCTCAGGGTGCCTATAACTGTTTCACCCATCGCATAGTCTTCTCCGCCACTAGGGTTTTCCCCATCGGGTTTCCGCCTCGCAGTTCACACAGCTCATCAGTAAGCCCTATTCCCACTTCGTGTTCTGCGTCCTCCGTCCGGGCTTCGATCAGAGGCCTAGATCGTTCAGCTGCTAGCACTCGCCTTTCATCGGGAGCAGTGATGCCACGTCAAATTGCTGAGCATTCATCAGTCGTACCTTTTTCCGAGACATCCCACTCTTCCGTGGGACTGGCCTCCGACAGGTCCTTCGAGAAACCGTCTGCAGAGCCTTGAAAGTCGGTCGCTGCGCTCCACATCTGTGAAGCCGAACCTTGCAACACTGCGACACATCGACGTCAAAAGTTCTTCGTGCCAAAAGTCAAAAATTACACTCCCCCTCCCCCCACACCCATTTACTGGGCCTAAAATATGCATGTTAAAAATAAACTCGTGCTCGCGCCTACCACGGCAACATGCAATACTTCGCGCCCTGCCTGTCTGTTGGTTTCGTTACCTGCGTGGTGGTGATGAAAAACCGCTGCCGTCGCTGAAGACAGGAAAACATCCACTAAATGCCAATCAACGGCTCGTCTTCCAAGGTTGGGTTAGTTGCGCCACCCTGTGCACATGAGCAGGGGGTTGGTCGGTTTCCTTTCGGAACTCCCGAATTCGATCAACTTGCACGCTGTCACCCTGCCCAGGCGATTACCCTTTTGTTGACGACGGGCCACAGGTGGCCACTTCGTTGCATTATTGTTTTGTGTGTTCCGCGTACGTTCCACCTCATCTCCTGTCCGATATGGCCCACATAATTGCAATACCAGTTAAGGCATATGAATATAATAGAGTGCATCGGTTGCTCGCCTGTGTTTTTTGTTCTTATTAAATTATTTCCGATGGGCCAAGTTTGCGGCTCCGTATTACGTGACACCTGGCCAATCTATAGTTTATACTGGCCTTAAGGCGGTCGTTTGTTTTGCGATTTTCTACATTGTAACTCCTGTTCTGCTTCTTGTCACCTTTCTCCTTGCCTATGCGCTTATTACTGATTATTTTGAAGTAGGGTCGAGTCCATTTATCTCTCAATATTAGGACTATTTCTCACTTTAAACGTTATTTGGCCCAACCTATAATTGGCAGAGTTGCCTAAGGTATCGGCTATTGATTTGGAAATCGAAGTTTCAGGACGTTCAAGATCGGACCGACAGTAGAATGATGGTGACGGTCAGCTGCCCTGAACCAACTATATCTAAACTCGCTTATGCCGAGTTCCGCACGACGGTTGTGTATTTACAGCTCGGCGCACAAGCGGCTAGTAGCAAGCGCATCCAGTGACTTGCAGTTAACGTTGTCTACAAACACATCGTGGCTGCGTCGTAGCTCACGATAGCATGTGCCCTTTGTGATCGTGGGACGTGTGGCGTGCGCGCAAGAGTACTGATGTTTGCAGAGACTTGGAGCGGGAAAGCCACGTTACCCTTACAGCAGCCGAGAAATTAGCTAGCTCATGCCGTTCCTCCCACCCCCACCGCCCCTTCGACTCCGTGCTGACCGGCCTTTATTGCTCTTCTTTGCAAACAGTGGAAGTGATTCTCAGCTGCACTGGCAGCCTGGCCGGTGCTCTCATTTGCTACATTCTCCCCGCCTGTGTCTACTTGCGCACCCTCGGCGCCAGCTCTCCCAACCGCCTCCTTGCCCTCCTCCTCCTCGCCTACGGTCTCACCGTCCTTATAACACCACTCTTCACCTTCGTCGGTGTTG